GAATTTTTTTTCCATTAATTCATACATATTTCTGAACACATAATTTATTTATCATGTTATGCATTTTTCTTGAAAGACATCTTTTTTTATTAATTCACATATTTTCCCGGAAAATATATATTTTTTCATTAATTCATATACTTTTCCCCCAAAACCGGGCGTTTATTGAAATTTTGCACTCATCTGATTAATATGCTCTCCTTTAGCTAAACTTTTCTTCTCAGTCCTTGCATTTTATGTTTCACATGAATAATTTTAGCACCCATTCCCCTCATGATATCATACCAATTTGCAATCACCTGAATGAGTAAGTGTTCAGGTTCTTGTGTATATCTGTTGCTTCATTGGTCATCTAAAATCTAGTCGATCTAGCCACTCCTTGCTGCGGCTGTTCGGTTCAGTCGGAATTTAGCTGAAAAAAAGATACCAGCAGTTTTAGAGAGTTGGAAATTTTTTTTTTTTTTGCTACACTGATCGAAGGGGCTTGAAATGATTTTCTTTAGTTGATATCTGTATTTGTAAAATTATCCTACACACGCTTGATATTCATTTTGTTGTGAACATGCGCTTGATATTTGTTGAGTTCCTTTTTTGACTGTATTGATCACGGCGAATTGCAGAATGTCCGAGTTGATATGGATGCTCATCGGGATGTCATTCGTTCGGTGGAAGATATGGGCTCGCAACTGATACATCGAGTTGAGGATTCCAAAGAACGGGAACGACTTGGCGAACGACTGAGTCATGTCAGTATCCGGTGGAGACATCTTGTTGGACTTGCTGATGCTATCAGGTTGCTACTTTTCCGTCTCACATACCTGTAATGTTTCCACCGAAATAGTCTGCATATCTTCTAAGGAGGGCTGTACCTGTGGTACTAGTCTGTGTATCCTCCATATGTGAAATACTTGTATGCTGAAGTTCCTGTGCTCGCGAATAACACTTGCTGTGATATGCAAGTTCCGGTGTTTATGAGCAAGGCGATCTATGAAATTTTAATTTCTGTCGCTACACTGTACTTGTTTGATAATCAGACTACCTTCTTATATTCTGATCAGCCGTAATCCACATCGATGCCCCCGCACTATGTTTGTGACGGACTTTTCCGGTTACTCAGACTAATGCTGCGTCGTCTGGTGGTCGGTCAGCCTTTCTGCAATCCTGACATCTCTCTGGTTTCCCAAATTTTCCCAAATATCTTAAGCTGTAAGCTGTAAGATCTTTTGGAAAATTTGGGAAACCAAAGAGATGTCAGGATTGCAGACAAGCTGACCGACCACTAGACGACACAGCAGTAGTCTGAGTAGCTGGAAAAGAAAAATTTTCCCAAAGATCTTACAGCTTAGAAGCATTTCAGTACCGCTCTAGCCATTTCGAGACATTTCTATGCGTTTTTTGCAGCTATGCAATGAGAAATAAATGGCCAACGCACGGGCTGCCCGTGCGAAGATGCGTTTTTTGCAGAGTTCCCCGCA